TCTCTGACTAATAATGACGCCTGTAGGTAAACAGCATGTTTGTATAAGAATCCTAGGAACTACTTTTACAAGATATGAACTCTGACCTTCCCAGTTCTGGGAGATTTGCTGACCTTCAACCTTAGAACCAGAAGGACAAAGTCTAGGATGACGCACACTGGACCAACACCTGACCACTTGTAAGATCCTTATCAGATTGGAATGTGCCTGTCGTCAGGTAGAGAACTTCTCAAGCCCCACCCCTGACCTCTTTGCTCTGTTTGGCCTCTCCCTCCTTATAAAAGCCTCTGACTGCACTGAGATGTGCAGATGGATTTTGGGACGAGCTTCCCCCATCTTCTCAGGTTACCGGCACCTGAATAAACCTCTCTCCTTCATGATGACCACCTGTCTCACAGGCCTGGTTTCTGGGGGGTGAGTCAGTAGTACCTTGTTTTTCTGAGTCAGTAGTACCTGGGACATGGACTCCTGGGAATATGTGTATCATGGTCACGTTCTTTCTTCTGCAGGTGACAGGGGGAAGCAGAGACCGGTCACAGAGGAAAGGAGTGAAGAATGGTGATTTTCCTTCAGAGCAAGAAGAACGGGTAAGAAAAAAGGTGGCAGAGCAAGAAGAACAGGTAAGAAAAAGATGGATGGGAGGAGGAGGAGGAGGATTTATTGGGGAAGGAGTCTGAGCTGAGAAAGGAACTTTGGCTTGGTGAACTGAAGTGAGTTTAGCAGCAAAACCATACTGCTCTTGCCAAGAGCATGGCTGAGGTTTGGGGAAGGGTGAGATCATTCTATAAGTGATGTTATGAGACCTTAGAAACCCTACTTGCTGTTTCTCCTGTCTCTTTGCTTCCTGTTTGCCTTATCAGCTACCCCAGGTGTCTGCCTGTTCTTGAATATTTTGGTTTGCTTCTCTCACTAGCACTTGAGAAGCAAGACCTCTGTTAAGAAGCCCATGTGGACGCTGACATTAGCTTTGTTTTTAGGCCAGCTGTTAAAGGTAAAGCATATTTTTTGCATATTATTTGCATGGTGTGGGTTGTTCTATGGTTTTTGAGTTCCTTCTGAGATGATGAGAAAGAAGGTGGTGGTGTCAGGACAAACAGAAAAGTAGATCCAACAACAAAGTTTTAATTAAGAAAAGAAAACTAAGAGCCAGGTCAGCGTGGATTAGTTGTTTAGCTTCAACCGAAGAACCAGGAGATCACAGTTCGATTCTCTGTCAGGGCACATGCCCAGGTTACAGTCTTGATCCCCAGTAGGAGGCATGCAGGAGGCAACCAATCCGTGATTCTCTGTCATCATTGATCTTTTTTTCTCTTTCTCTCCCTCTCCTTTCCTCTCTGAAATCAGTAAAACTATATGAAAAAAAATGAAACAATAGTCATGGCAAAATAAAGTAGAGCATTGAGGAGTCAACCCTATATAATGAAACCCTAATGTGCAAATCAACCAAATGGCAGAATGACTGGCCGCTATGACACACATGGACCACCAGGGGCAGATGCTCATGGCAGGAGCTGTCCACTGGTGGTAAGTGCACTCCCAAAGGGGGAGCGCCACACAGCCAAAAGCCAGGCTCAAAGCTGCCGCGACAAGGTGGGTGGGGGAGCCTCCAGAGCAGCACTAAAGCGGGCCTAAGCTATTATTTGGACATCCCTCAAGGGGTCCCGGACTGGGAGAGGCTGAAGGGTAGGCTGAAGGACCCACCAGAGTGCATGAATGTCGTGCACTGAGCCTCTAGTAATATTATAATAACTGTGTATGGTGTCAGATGGGTATGAGATTAATTGCATGATTTCTTAGTCCATTATATAATGTCTAATCATTGGGGTGTAACCCTGAAATGAACCTAAGGTTCTATGTTAACTGTCATTTAAAAATGTTTTTAAAATTCCAAAAGACTATGTTACCTACATAGAGTCATATTTTACCTCATTTGCATTTTGTACAGTTTTTTTTCTAGGACAGAGATCTAAAGCTAAAAAGAAAGAGAAGTTCAGATATATAAATTTGGAAAATAAACAAAAGGCAACCACAAACACAACCATAAAAACCATAAAGATAAAAGCCGAGTTAAAATGTGTTTGGAGATGCCATCCCCTGTCTTTCAATGCCAGGACTGAAGTAGCGAGAGGCTCTGAAAAGCTGTGGCTGTTGCTCCTATGACCATGGAGGGGTCATGGCTGAGCTCCCATTGAACGTGCACCTCACCTCGCACCCCATGTACCTGAGTCTCCGTGGGCCCTCGGTGTATGAGGACGAGAAGCAGCGCACATGGCTGTATCTTGTCATGGACATAGGAGGTGACCTGCAAGTACAGTTGTGCCAGGTCGACTACCCCAGTGAGCATATAGGACTCACCACCAGCCCAAGCACCATGCCTTCGATGTGGATGCTCCACACTGGCAACCAGTACCTGGACTCCATGGGCCGGTTCTGGCGCATCGTGCACCATGTCATGGAGGACGACGTGGAGGAAATGATCCTTGAGCTGATGGACGACTCGTAGGACATCTGATCGGGTCCCTGGCTCTTGTCAACCTGAGCCCCAGTCCTGCTGGCCTGGTGGTGGGACGTGTATAGTTCTGTTCACCTTCTTAATAAGCTCTGTTATTCTATCTGCCACCCCCAGGTGTGAGGGCACATTGATGTATCTCTCTCTCTCTCTCTCTCACTTCTGCCGGAGTCCATTCATTGTCTTCACTAGCTGAGTTTAGACAGAGACCCCCCAAAAGCTAGTAGTCATTGAAAGTCCTAGTAAAGGTCAGGGCTTGAAAGTCCTGGCAAAGGTCAGGGCTGTGCACCACCCAGTTAATCCAGGAACCACTCAGTTAATTTAGATAATAATAGTTGACGCATCCCCACCTTAGTTCCCTTAATTCCTTAGATACTTATGTAGATCCTTGTTGATTATTGTTAATCAGATACTCCCCCGCCTGGTTCCCCAATATTGCAAAATTATCTCGTGTCTTTTTCTCTCATTTGTTGTGCGGCTCCTCTTTCAGATACCGAACCCTACTCCACACAGAACGTGGAGGGAGTGTTAACAACTTCTTGTTCTTGTTCTTCTCTTTCTCTTTTCTCTCTGTCTCTCTGTCTCTCTCTGTCTATCTCACCTCTCTCTCAAATCAATAAAAGCATTTTGAGCCAAGCTGGTGTTTCTCAGTGGTTGAGGGATGACCTATGTACCCGGAGGTTATGGTTTGATTCCTGGTCAGGGCACAGACAAGAATTAACCAATGAGCCCTAGCTTGTTAGGCTCAGTGGATAGAGTGTTGGAATTTGGAAGGTCCAGGTTCGATTCTGGTCAAGGGCACATGCTCTGGTTGTGTGCTTGATCCCCATTCGGGGGCATGCAGGAGGCACCTGATGTATGATTCTCTCTCATCACTGATATTTCTCGCTCCCTTCCTGTATGAAATCAATCCTATATAATAAAAGCCTAATATACTATGACTATGTGTGCTCTCGACTGGTCATCCGTTCAACCAATCAAAGCATAATATGCAGATGAAATACTAAGGTGCTCCACTGCTGGCTATGACAC